CGAAAACGGGGTCATGGAATTCCCCATTTTTAGAAGGACTTGAGAGTCATAAAGACTCCGCCCTAAAGTCTGCTCTTTGGGAGGGGGGGGGTCCTGGTTTGACATGTTTAACGCAGACCCACCTGTATGTCTCTCTTTGAAGGAAAAGACGGGTAGAGTGAGGATAGCATCTTTTGACCATTTCCGGTTTGGTCCACAAAAGGACCGACCCAATACCTGAGTGTAGCATTCATATTGCAGGGAGTACCTTTGTCAGGGTTCTGTTCATACTTCCCGTCCCTGCAGATTAACACGTCACCCCAAGAAAATCATTTTGGGCAACAGTGCTTTTGGGCGCCATGTGAATCGGACTGGAGTCTGCTTTTGAGCCTTTAAACACGGGAACGTTGCCCAAATGAAAGAGGCGGCCCCATTGTTGAAGGTCACGAAGACTGCGCAAAGAAACCAACAACACGAGCAAGTACACAAAACAAGCCATGGAACTTGGCAAGGGCCAACAAAAGCTGCATCATTGCCTAGGGCGAACGGTGGGGTTTGTGGGGCTTCCACCGGCCGGACCGGGAGCGGTGGGTTCCTCACCGCCCAGCACTGCCACCACGCCGCGCTGGCCTTTGACCTGGGCATCTACTTCGAGGTACCGCGAATCGAATGGATCTGAGCTGCGGGGCTTTTCCACAGTTTGGTCGGTTTCAAAGGTTTCAGAAGGTTCAGGGTCGCCTGAAAAGGGTGGTTTTGGGATTTGAATGGGAAGCCTCTCCTCAACCACCAAACCACCAAGACAGACCACCAATTAGAGGGAAGCTGAAAGGTGATCACCTTTGATTGCTGGGACCTTTGGGCAGAGAGAGGCAAAGAGTCAGAGGGCGCTTTTTAAAGAGTCAACGTTGGGTACGACGCCTTTTCGGAAGAAACGCGCATGCCATCCCCCCATAGAAAACAGGCCATGAAAAGGGCTCCGTTTTAGGGGTTCTTTGTTGCATTATTTCAGGCTGGTGAGTTAACATCGGCCCAGAATTTATCTTCAAGGACGCCTCTAAATGGTTGGTTTGGGGTTCAAACCACCGTTAAAACTGAGGGTTTATATTGAATCCTAGGGGTTGCATGTAGGTTCCCAACCGACGCTATGATTACTAGGGATGCCTCACGATTGCATATTGATTCCCAGTACCCGACACTATGGTTTGTGTTCATGTCCAGTTTCCAGTTGCTCGTTGGCTTGACAATGGCTGCTAGAGATAAAAGGAAACTATGGCTTTCCGGTTGGGGCTTTGTCAGAATTGAATCATTTCCAGGCACCGGCCGGTCGGTCGCCGTTGTCCTTCCCGGGCCTTTGACACAGTTGCAAGTCCTGATGTCCCCAAACTTCCAACATGTCCTTGGTTTGTGACCCTTTAAATCCACAAGCAACAGCCACACCAAGGACCAGTTGTGTTCCTTGGTTCCGCGTGGTTTCCCCTTAAAACCTTCCATTTGTTTTGGTGATTTTCCCTAGTTGGCTTCAAAGGGCATCTATCACTACCTGACATGTTTTGGTCTTTGTTCTGACCTTAGCTTTTCAACGAAACCTGCAAAAGGTTCGACCTTTTCCGCAGAGGGGAAGAGCAGCCCAGTTGACACAGGCCTTTTTGGTTGGTAGTTGGAAATCATGCACATCGAGCGCACATGCGCTGGTGAACTGCACGCACGTGCGCATTTCCGTGCACGCACATGCAGACCCACAGTTGTGTGCCCGTGGCTGCCCTCCTGCACGTGCATCTGAACGAGCGTTGGACTCTCTGACACGCACTCACACGCTTTCACACGAGCACACGCGCTTGCACACACCTACACGCATGCACTCACGCAATGCGTGCAAGTCAACGCAAGCAAGCGCATGACTCACGGGGAGTGACATTTTGTTCATTTGAAAGAGGTTACCCTTTTAGTAGTTGTTATGTTTGGTGTGTTGGGCGGGTCATTTGTTTTGTCTTTCTGCTATCATGAATGCCCCGGTTCGTTTCGGTTCGCCCTCGGTTCGGTTCGGATCGGTTGGGCGCGCAGGCAAAACGCATCCCAAATCAACCTTCCAGATTTCCTAAGCCAACCCTGAGCCGACCGTAAACCAACCCCTCCAACCAGCCCACGGGGGGCGGGGGGGGCGTGGGGGGCTGGACCATATATAGATATCTACATATGACATATATACATATATTGTTTGAGCTTAACCCAAAGGCCAACGGCCACGGGACGCTGATCTTCAGCCAGAAGCTGGTGGACCAGCTCCAGCGCGCACCTCACCTCGATTCGCCGCTGGAAGGCCATAGTCTTTAGATCGTGAGGGGTTAGTTGGACTCCT